ATAGCTATCATAATAGGCAAAAAGGTTGTCATCACTATGTACTACAAAAAACTGTGCCCAGTTTCAAAATTTGCCTCACATGCTCAGTATACCATATTTTAACAAATTCATATAAGCCATATATCCTCCAAAACAGGCTTCTAACCATAAAACAGACACAGAAGAAAATACAGTTGTCTTATTGTAAGGTCTTAAGACCTTATTGCAGCCTACCAATACCTAAAGGTGGCTTATAAGAAAGATGGAGATAGACTTCTTAGCAGGGTCTGTTGCCACAGGACAAGGATTAATGGTTTTTAACTAAAAGGGGGTAGATTTAGACTATATAGAAGTCAGGGTGCACCCTCAGTTCCTTCATGATTCCCTGTAAAGCCTCCACGACAGAAATATTGGAAATGCGTGGGTAATTCATTCCAAATAAAAGCCAAAATACATGAAAACAAGCACACAGTCATAGGTTTCAGACTCCTTGGCCTCTTCTTAATTTGACTTTACAGGTTTTTTCTCAGCTATTCTCCACAACTTGCTTGTAGATCCATCAGTGTCTACTGTCTAACTTCTTTCTTTTAATAGTTCTTTTTCAATTTGTATGAGACTTACTCAGAAATAACTAAATAACCTCAGAAAGTCCCAGCAAATCAATGAGCAATTCATTCCTGACAGACAAAGCGTAAGTTCATTAAAATCCTAAAATTTTAAGAAATTTAATTTTGCTGAAGTTCTGTTTTCAAAGTGTTGTTCTTTTTCTATTCCTGAGTACTGTTGTCTAACCAAAACATATGTCAATGAATTAAACTGTTAAGAATTACAAATATTGAAACAGACAGCTGGATGATCCAAGGTACAAGCCAAGAAGTCCTTGACATCCAAAGAGAAATGAAAAAACACACACAAGAGCAAGTTTATAGGGAGAGGTAACCAGCATTTCAATGCAGGTATATCTGTCCCAAGAAGTAAATCACAAACATTTCCATTTTGAACCATAAATAAGAGACCACCTTTTCAATGTTTATTCATTACAGTCTTGGATATATTGCAACATAGAAAACAAAAGTCTTGAAAAAAACCATTTTTGCTGAAAATTCTGGCACAGACTGAGAAGTAGAGGTGAAAGGTCAGTTCTTCATTAACCGAACCAACACAATTAAAATTCTAGTGTTGATAATAAAAAAAAAGGCAGATCCTCCAGTTCTGTTGAGGAACTAGAAACTTACTGTCGCAATAAAATTAAAACCCTCTGAATCAAAATTTTTACATGGATTTGGCATTACACCATGCCTGGTTCAAAAATTACCCATAATACACTGGAAAGAGAAAATGTATAAAATCTAATGAACGACAAAACACACAAGTTGCATTAGGTACTTTTATAAAATAGAACAAAAATAATCTTCATAATTCCAGTGCCATTAAAAATTACTCTTACAAAGAATACCTATTAATATAACATGGCCATGCACAGGGCACAGATTCACAAAAGAACTACACATTTTCAGAAAGGAAAATTTGGTCAAGCTAAAAAAACACCCCTGAAAACATGGGCCAAGCCTTATAGGCTTTCCACCCCTATGTTTAAGCTATTATGTATACACTGTCTTATTCATTTGTATTCCTTTGAGGGAGAGTAAAACACTGAAAAAATGAATCCCATATTAAAAAAAATGAAGAAAAAAAAAGAGAATGTTTTAAAAGAGGGATATTTACTGTTTCTGTTTTACTCCATTTGAAAAGAGATGGACTGTAGCATTCTCACAAGCATGTACGGTCTTCCAAAACAATACAATAAGCATGGTATTGGGAACGAATTTCCAAGCCAAAAGCAATTCATAAACATGGTTTATAAGCTGAGAGCAGAGGAAAAGGTGTGACCAAGTTCATAAAAGTGAAACCTGCTTCAGAAAAGCTCTCTAGTTGCTGCATGGTGATTGCAAGAGTGAGAGGAAGCTGTTCTAGCCCCACCAGACAGAAGTCCATCTCAGAACCACACTCACTTCACAGCTCCGAAAATCTCTGCTCAGAGAAGGCCTGCTGGAGAACGAAGTAACCTTCTTAAAGACCAGTTTTACCAGGTCATGGTTGTTCTCATCAGGGAGAGGTCTGTGACAGCACATATCTTAACTCCCTATGCTGTGTTTGGCTTCATAACAGACCTAGGGAACCTGGATCTCAACACTAAATTTCAGAATCATAAAAAAACAAAAAACATCTACCATTTTAAACAGCACCTAGTCCTAAAACAACTGCAGTCTACACTGCACAATTTCAAGTAATTTATTTTATTCACATTTTATTCTTTTAAAGGACTAAAGGATGTGCACAATCTTGATTTCTGAAATGTAACAATAACGCAGTTCAATTGGGTAGCTGCCCTTCTTGTCACTAAAAACAACACAGCTTTTCTATGACAATGGCAAGAAAGTTAAAAAGTAACCTGGCATTAAATATGTGTCTTGCAACTTTGAAAAAGCAATTTAGTAGCTAAAACCAAAAGCCTTGAGATCAACCTTCCTATAAGTGACCTTAGTCAAAGATGCACTCAAAGGCCCCAAAATACTGTTCAGGAACTCATGCTTGCCATGACAAAAAGCAAGGTGGAATTTCACGCTCAACACACATAGCTGTGACAGCAAAGGAAAGAAGAGATTCAACGCTAACTTGGCCAAATAATTTTCCAATCAGACTGGTCATCCATATTAAAACAGCTGATGCTAACTTCAAATTATGGCTTGCATAGCAAATGTGTCTAGATCCCTTTCTGTGACAATCTTCTGAGACACAACAAGGAAAATAAAGCAGTTCAGGAGGAAAAAATGTTAAGTGCACATTAGGTGGGTGAATGGACTTACTGTGTGTGTATTTTGTTTTTTAAACATAAATCATCATCACATATGGTAAAGGCAAACCTTCAAGAGTAGCAAAATATTTAACTTAGGTTCTTCTATAAAAATAAGCGTGATAGTCCCTATATCACAATTGCTGGTGAATAGAATTACAGTGATGTATGTAAGGGAAATAAAACCACTTTCTCCAAAAAGGTTTGTGATCGTGCCCACTGAGCAGTAAGAAACCGAGAAGAAATTCTAATCACTATAGAAAACAATTTAATATTATCTTTTCTTTTAATCTCAACTGCTGTATTCTCGTGCTGTGCTACATCAACTTGAGGTAACAAGGGAAGAGCTGAATGACAGTAAGCCATGTTTGTGCTTTCAACTCCTCCATGAAATCTTTCCTAACTTTTAGGCTAACTCTTCACCCACTGAGTCACAGTGGCTATTACAGTTGATTCAGACACCCAGGGTGGAAAAAATTCTGCAGATTCCAGTAAGGCTTGAATCAAATGCTCAACACGTTTGTTTCAATGCAAGACAGCTTCGGGTGGCAGTGCTGACAAAAGCAGCAGCCCCACCTCCATTTATCCCCAACTGTTTGTTACTGCTTACCTGATTTATTTTTCTTATATCAGCAAAACCACTAGTTTAGTTACATTAATCAAATGAGTCAACTGATCTAGATTAAAACAAGTAGTTTTTCCCCTCCTAGAAACAGACTGTCTGGGTACAACTCTCCCTCACCACTTAACATCATTAATGCAAAAAATTAAAAAAAAAAAAGACAAATTTTGCTCTGTCTGATAACTAACTGCATGCTGTTGTGCATGCAGCTCCTATTTCATTATGAAGACTATAACCAACCAGCAAAATTACATCAGAAAAGGCAGAATTTTTTTTGGAATCACTTTACTTCGGCATTCAAGCATTGCCACACTCTGAATTCCAAGTATATTAACCTCAGTAAAAGCCTCCTGAAAAATGACTAAGACAGGAAGGAAATAAGGGAGATTTTACTTAGTACTAGATTGTTCAGAATTTCATGGCATGGTACAACCCACCAAATGGGTATACACAGGCACCAAGAGCATCTAAAAGACTGTGAGAATTTATTTCTCAGTCTATTGCATATAATCAACAATATTACATGGCTAAATATAGCTAGTTACTAACAGAAAATCTGCATCACCATCATCATCAATTATTTTATTGTCATTTGTACATCTTAGTATTACATGCACACCTAGATAAACTGACACACAAAATAAACTAGTAAGTAAGAACTTAGCTATTTAGAGAAGTCTAGAAGTATCTTCAGCTTTAGCAGACCTGTACATAAATAATGTTCAGGTTGCTAGTCTCACTAGTTATGAGGACTATAAGATATAAAAAAGTATATTAACAATTCCATTTGTATTTTATACCATATTTTTATATGGATCCATTGAAAATGCAAGGACACAAAAGCAACAGCACTGCACCCCCAAATTGCTATTCAGCAATGTAAAGTGTTAAGCATCAATGTGCTGTGAGTTATTTACATGCTGATGTGTTTTGCTAAGTCAGTGTGGAAATATACAAAATATGAACAGATGTGGCATGCAAAACCCTAAATTTGGGATTACAGTTAAGGATTCATTATTTCTTAAGTCACTAAAGATAAATCCACACACAAGCACTGCCCCTCCCCTTTGTCTGCCTTTGAAAGAAGTTTGGATACAATTAAATTCTTCACAGGCAGGAGATTAAACAAAAGCAAAAAACAATAAAATTACAGAGTAAATATAAGCTGCTTTCAAAACAAACTATGGTATTTCTCCAGTTATTTATTTTATCCTAATTGAAAGGTTCTTATTTTTAATAGCAATGTTTGCTTCCCTCCTGATTTGTCATTGCTGCTTACTATTCCCAAATTCCAGACTTGATGAAACTACTGTTATGAGCCATCAAAACTACTCACTGTAAAATGCCACCTCTTTTAAGATTTAAAATGACAAACTAACAGTGACTATGTCATAATTAGACTGATATAGACTCCAACACAGTACCTATGCAAGTTGTGTCTGAAGCAGTTTCTGAACTGACAGACTGACAGTGTGTCTAGAGATGCAGCACCTTTAAATGATCAGTTTAATCCAAAGCAGTTCTGAGAAGGATTCACTCACTTACACGGATCCAGCTGTTGGCCTTCACCTCCACAGGGTTCTGTGGCTCACTGCTGTACAGACAACACAAGCACCACATCAGAGCCTTCTGGTTTTCATCTGCAGGGAAAAAAGCAAATAAAGATACATTTAGAGGGAAAAGAAAAACCCAAACAAAACACAGACAGAATTACACACAACAATCCCTATTCATCCACAGAACTAAAGCCCTAAATATCAGCCTCAGCTCATACTGCTCCTCTTCTACCAGATGCACGCCACACATTTAACGTTATTCATTTGTACACCTTGTGTAACCATTTCCTTCAATAGCAGTTTAAAAGGTATCAAAGGGTTCAAAAGCTATACAATAATTAGATGGTCTTAGAAACTTGCAGGACCTAGTAACTCATTTACATAAATAATACCTGAGGCTATCAAGGAACTTTCAATTCAGTATCTAATATCATTATTAATAAACAATAATCGACAGTAGTAAAATAGTTATTACATTGTGTCCAAAGCTTGCACATCTAAAGTATGCTCACTTACGGAAAACTAAGGTTTGTGAAGTATGAAATCATTCACAGCTAGAATGTAAAATACCAAGTTCTCTGTAAAAATATATTGAGAATCTCCATGTCTCAGGAAAACTACATTTCTGCAGACAGCAGAGTAGGTAAATTCTGATGGGAAAAAAGTCCTATTATGATTTTCTGTTCAGATTGGGTTTTACTTAATTCTAACCCACTGTTGGAAATGAGTTCTCTTCTTTAAGAATCTACCATAATGAGCAATACTGTCAGTGCTCAGATGCACAGACTTTATTACGGAGGAGCTGATTATCTGGAGTAAGCAGGTAAGAGCCATTTCACTCACGATTATTTCCCACAACTTTGTTTTCAATAGGCTTTGGTAGTTTTTTTCTAATATTCTTTGGCAGATACTAAGAGTTTCTACAGTGAATTTAATCCCAGAATGAAACTACATGATTGAAATGAAAATTCTGAAAACTGGATGTAGTATTGTAGCTCTGATATAATACTCAGTAAGCAATACTATGATTGCTAAAAAAAATACAAACAAGTGAGACCACATGAGGTTTAGAAACTATATTGAGACAGTTTGATTATCAAACCCAAGGAATGCTTTCTTTTGTTTTCTGTGTATTTGTTATCCAGGATGTAATAAACAGTATTATTTAGAAGTGCTTTGTTGGGAAAGCCTGAGGAAAAAATAAAAGCTCCATTAAGTGATGCCTGTATTTTCACCAGGTGACCAGAGATGTTAACATTGATTTAAACCAGTATTCCTCAATAAATGTCCAACAAGCCTGTAGGCCATTACTGACCTCCCACTGACTAACATCTCTGCAATAGAAATGGTTTCCCGAACATACACTTTTAACCAACTACAATTTGGGGTATTCTGACATTATGTGTTTGAGGTTTTTTTTTAATAAGGATTTTTACAAGGCTAATAATTTCCTAGGTTGTGTAAGACTGAAGTTAAAGGACATATATTGCATGCGGCTCAGCACAAATTCAAAGTATCCTTATACTTTGATTGCAACCATATTCCAATAGCATTCAGACATCAGCATTAATAGGCAACTTTATCTCCTTCAAAAACATTTCACCTAAACTCTATTATGACATTGTAAGGGAGGAAAAATAAGCAAAGAGTGGTTTATTTGTTTAAACAGCTAAATGATAGCCAGTTGCTTCTTGGAAAATGAAGATTTTAAACATTATTAATTACTAGTACTAACATATGGCCTGATTATAAAGTCTGGCTATTGAGATAATTTTCAATTACATGCATTACACAGAAAGAGACATGGAAAAAGAAATGAAGTTGAAATCTCCTATCTCCAACAGCATACACACAGTTCAAGTATTCCTTCTTTTGACTCACCTGGTTTATACTGTATGTCTATAGTATGCCAATCAGTCATTTTATTTAAGTTATAGGGTTTTTTTGACTTAGAAAAAATAAAGAAAAGAGGTGAAGAAAATGCATATAACCGCTTGAACAGACTTCTGGATGGGAAGATTTTTTGCTACACATGATGACTTGTTACATACTATAAAGTAAATTGCATGTACTGTTGCCTGTCAGAACTGTAAATCAGTATGACAAAACCAAAATGATGAAAACAAACCTTAGATAAACAAAGCTGGCACACCTTGCCAGCATGAATATGCACAGATTCACCCAGATAAATTCAAACCTCAACCCAGGTGAGACTGAGTTACACTGGTGTCATAGCTATGCCAACAGCTTCCAAAAAATAAGGAACTGGAACAGCTTCAAACTTTCCCAGTCAAAATTACTTTTTGACCAAAACAGGCAGCCTCCCACAGATCTGTGAGAAGCAGGAAAACAGCCCATAAAATCCTCCTGCTGAAGAACCCAGTGACACGTTCTGAGGGCCACCCTCAGGTTCACTGCTTTCTTTTCACAACTGCTCTGGAACGGTGGAGGAAAGCTGGGAAGATTAAGAATAAGGTAATTATTTTAATATCTCAAAATAATTACAGCAACTGCAAAAAATAATCAAATCCAAAGACCAAACACACAGTCACAGAAAACTTACTGGGGCGTTTTTTCCTCCCTGTTTTCTAGCAACTGTGATCTCCATGGAAAACATATCATCATGATATGCACTGAAAACCATTATCAGGATACAAATTAAGGCACTTGATCTTATTATGGCATAAATGAATGCTGACTATCTAAATAACCAACCAACTAATGTGTCCAGAGAAACAAAATTAAAAACTCAGCGGTGGAAATGACAGCCCAAAAGAGGTTACCAACTATCTACTAGATAGGTAGGTAATGTATCTCCAACTAAGGGAATAAAACTTTTCTATAGGAAATTTAAGACAGATTGGAAGTTGTTTTTGTAAAAAAAAAAACCAACAAAAGAAAACAAAACAAAACAAGCAAACCCAAGAAAATCCAAACAAACAAACAAAAAGGAACTAAAAAATCCCAAACCAACCAACCAACCAAAAGCCTAAACCTTTATGATCAATCAGACTGCACTTCTTTCCTGCCAATCTCAGAACAAATTTTTTTTAAAAAAGGGAAAAAAAGAAAAAAGGGAATGTTTTTCTCACAACACACTGTAGTCTCAGTCATCCTGAGATACAGGCAGTTTATAAAAACCCTGTCATGAGTGGGGCTAGATGGAAGGAAATAAACTCTAATCTTAGAGCCAGAAATATTATTTTTAGAGCTCGTTGTAAAATTTTATTGAAATATATCAGAAAATGTTGATTAGCTAAAACTGAGCTTCCTGTGGATGTGAATGCACCCACAAGCACACTCACACACACACACACACACACACACACACTGACACACAGAGCCCCCAGGAGAGCCCCCAGCATTTTCAGTGTTAGTCTGGGCTCAAAACCCAAACCAGGAGGGTCCTACTGAGAAGATAGCCCAGCCCACAGAAAAAAACATTGGGAATTCCTTACCAAGACTGAATTCCTCATGTATCCCTTGTGGTTTAGGACCACAAGTAGAGCCATGAGATTTTCTGCAGTCGTGCTTCCCTCACGTTAGCATTCTAAATAGGGTCAACGTGGTCACCTCCTGCCCAGGAGTGTCTATGAGCAGATTATTTTCCCTCAGAGGCCACGCTTCCTGCACTCAGTGGTCAGCCATGGCAGCTTCCAGCACCAACAGACAGCCATTTAAGGTGATAGGTATTGTGGTTTGGACATGATACAGAAGTATAAGGTTTTTCCTTCTCCATTTATGTGTATGAAAGACTGAACTGAACAAAATTAGTTCCTTCTACTGCTAGGGTGGCCTGGCCTCAGACACATGCCTGAATGAGCTATTTATCCAAATGAGAAATTACATGAAACCCACTTGAGAGTCAGCATCTGCTACAGCCAGCACTATCTTAAAGAATATCTTCAGAACTAGTGCCAAACAAAACGAAAAACTGCTGAATCTAAAATGGAGCAGTCCAAAGGGTGCTCAGGTGGCTCTAAGAAGAGGAAGTGGTGGGAATGTGTAAGCAGACATCTTCAGGTCTACTGATGTCAGAAAATCCCCTTGATTCATCTTTAAGCATGAAAGTGAAGGATTCCACTTTTAGCAAGTAAAGTTATCTGAATTCTTGCTTGCCACTTTGAGACAAAACCAAAAACCCTGTAGTAAAACTCTACTCTCAAGCAAACTTCAGAGGTAACAATCAACTTGCAGAAAAAGTGCTTTTGCAGCTTCAGAAAATGCTGAAGGGACACAAAAAAGAGCAAAGAAGTAGAGGAAACCAAGAACATATTGCTGGGATTGTTGTGAAAAGGAGCCAAAAGCAGACACAGATGGCTTTCAGCTTTGATGAAAAATATAGATGAAGGTACTTTCTATTAAACAATATATTGTCAGCTCAGAAAATTTGAGTCTAAACACCTGTATATTCCAAACGAAAATTTAGAAGAAAAGCATGTGTGTAATTGTAAACATCAACAGTTACATTCTCAGAAACTATGATTACAAGGGAAACCTTTACATTGCAAAAAATACATCTATAAAGTACAAAAAGGCTTTTCAAAAAGCACACATTTGCTGGTCTGCAAAAGTGGTCTGTGGACTGTGTTTAGACAGTGTTCTGTCTATTGTCTCTTCCCAAATTTTCCCTTCAGGGCAGAAGTGCTGACATTACACACACCGTGTGTTTTGTGGACAAGTTCCCTCTGCCTGTGCTTGGAGCTGACTGAAGGCAAAGCCAAACCAGCACATACACTGTGCTTGACTTAATAACCCCTCTAGGTGAACACAACATTGGCCTTGCCTGGATTTCCCCAAAAGGAAGCAAAAAGCAGAAGAGACAAAATGTGATATTTTTTTTTCTTAATAAGAGCAACAGGCTGATTAAAGGTTATTTTAAGGGCCTCACACAGAAGCTCAGAACTAGTTTCTGCTCAAAAGGAGGTTCCAAGTGATTTATCAAAATATCAACATCTCAATTCCTGGAAAAGGCACAGAACTGCTGGTGAGGGAGCACAAGGAGTGTCTGCTCCCTCTCAACAGGTTTCCTGTGCCCAATTTATTTTCTCTTCTATAATCTCACCCACACACATGTTCACTACCAGTAACAGCATTTTGTTTTTTTCATATGTTTTTTTCCTGTGCCACCACTTAACTGTTTTAATTTTGACTCTATGTGCATTTTCACTAGTTGAGGATGGAGAGGTAGGGAAAATACACGTTCAGAATAAATTTAATAAAAACAAACTCAATCATAACTTAGGAGAACTTTACACTAATTAGAAAAATGTAAGTAGCAGAAAGGTTAAATCTCCTATATTAGCATATCTAATAGAATATTCTGATACGTAACTGGAAGAGACTTCTGTTGAAAGTCACTTGAAGCATTAGATTTTATACATTTTGAGATCCTATCAAAATGTAATCAATATAAGAAGAAAATAAGACTGGAGATCATGATGCACCTAAACATTCACTGGGTTTAAAACCTACTGGTCCCAAGTCAAGATTCTGTAACTAATCCATGAAAGTCATTAGATCCAAAAGCAAACTTAACAGTTCTCAAAGCCACATATTTTAAGCAACATGGCTAGTCTTTTCATCTCAAAATTTTACTTTAGTAAAAAAGAATGTTGTGTTTTATGGAAAAAAATTATAGTCTATAACAAGTCGTATTATGTTAATTTCTCTGGAACTAAGTTTATGGAACTGCTACAGGAATATCATTAGATGTTCTTACCATATCCTATAACAACAGGATTCCAACAGAGCCTTCCTAAAAGCTGTCCAATTAAAGGGAACTGCTGGATTGCTGCAACTGAACCCTGCTAAAACATAAAAACAGGCAAAAAGATAGTAATTATACTGCACGTCAAAAGTAGGTTAGCAGAACTGGTAATGATAGAGATTGTTATAAATTACAATCCCAATGGTTTTACTGTGAAATCGTCTGGAAGCAAAACACCTGCAGGTTTGTAATAAAAGCAGAACTTCCTGAAATTTGCTATAATGTCATAATTCAAGTAAGTTAAAACTTAACATAAGCAATTTCCTTACCTAATACTTAACTATGGTAGAAAATTAGTTCATTTGCCTCACATCCAGCAACCAGAACAGTAACAGTAACCAAGATCCCATTGTATGAAAAGCCCTATTAACATACATTTTTGTTGATCCTCACTGCTTTAATACAGTCTCACGGTTTCAGAAGAAATTAATACCTACTATGGCACAAAACTAGGTATCTTTCTGCTACTTCTGCTTGCTTTCTTTAAATTAACTTACTTAATGACTAGCCAGTAACAAACTGACATTTAACTTCTAACCAAATAGAAAGCAGTTTCACTATAAAAGTAATAAACAGTGTAGTCTATATACAATCCTGTGTAATCAGTCTTATTTTTCCATTTTTGTAGCTTTACTATCTAATAAATGAAGGCTTTGAAAAATAGTGCTGTGCTGAGATAACATGCATAACATGATAACCATCTCCTGGTACTGCAATAAATTCCTTACATTTGTCTCACGTTTGGGGCTAGGCCCAGACTTTCTGGGGCCATATTCCCAAGGTCCATTTCAGGCCAAGCCTCAGATTACCTGAAGTAGCAATGTTCTTTTTTTCTCCCCTCTTAAGAAAAAGATACATAAATATAGGAAGAAACACCACTCCCCAAAAATCTTTTATTTAAAATTTAAATTCAGTTCAGAAACAAACCCTTTTCTGAAGTCTTCAGATAAGAAGAATATTTAAAAAGGAGTACCTCCATAAGAAGCAAGCTTTATGCCATAATGCAGTATTTCTAAAGCTAATTATACTGAACATATACACTGAAAAAGCCATGCTCAGAAAAATACAGAAACAACTAAATTTACTTTTATAAAAAGCACTCAAGTGAGTGCAGGCAACAATTAAACTACTAAGCAGAACAGGCAGCAGCACATGTCAGTGGTCTGCCCATGCCGCCAGAATTCACTGTGTGTGCCATAACACCGGGGTTAACGTGTCACCAGACCCTCTAAGGTTTTAAGGATCAGTTACAGATTTACACGTTAAGCCCTTTAAATCATCCAATTTATGACCTGACAACCAGAATCAAATTCTTGTTTATTTAAAGAGTTTTGTTAAGAGGCTAGAGCACTGGCTGGGAAATCTCACGTGACATCAACCAATGAAGGAGAAAAAGCTCTTTTCCCAATAAATCAGGGAAACAGGAAGCACACTCCTGTTTGCATTAACTGTGACTGTTTCCCCAATTTGCCCCTCTGATCCAGCAGTACATTAGGTCAACAACACAAACTTCTTTGCTACTTGTAGCTTCTGGTTTTATCAAAACATGGTGCAGATTGTTTTGCAGGGTGTCTTCAAAACAGGTTACTCTTCATTCTAAGGTTACTTACCACATCTTTTAAAGTTTCATAAAGCTGATGTAGAAACTCCTGCAGCTGGGGCAAGTGAAGGCACACATCTTTCTGGGATTCCAATGTAGTGGCTTGACCCCATTCAACAGCTTTATCCAACCAATATTCAAAGTTCAGTTTGGGCACTGTAGTGTCCTGGGCCATTACACAATCCTGAGAAAGAGATTATAACTCCACATTAGGCAGCAATAAACATTGTCTTCAAACCAAGAATGAAACTATGAAGAAGGATTTCTGCTAACTTGTTTTGTGTTCACAGTGAAAGTGGGTGTAGGGGGTGTCTGTGCTCACATCTCACGAGGCTGGCAATTTTATCTGTAGTATAAAGAGGGTAAACTAATAACCCCATTATGACAAAATGGCAAAAGGGGACACAGTAATCAATAAATTATCTCAGAATGTACCACCCAGATGTGTCTTATGCTTTTCTTATCTCAGTTTGTCATCATCAATATCTCACACAGAAAATATTAGAACAATGTGAGTGTGCATTTGTTTAGAATGCTATGCATGATGAAAAACTGAAAATGTCTGTTCCAAGATAAATTAAAGCATTAAGACACAATCAAAAGAAAAGGGATTAGAAGGCCTTTGCTCATTGTAATTTCTATATTTCTAATTTATCATTAGCTTTAAGTGCAAAAAGAGTATTCTCCTTAAAGAAAACAAATTAAATATTTCAGCTCTGTTGTTGTTTGTACTACCGTACAAAGGAGAAAGAAAAAATACAACCATATGCAGCTTTACATACAACTCAATAATAAATAAAAGCTTTATCATATATGATCTATACCCAATGGCACATTTCACTGTAAAAAATGGCTCTTTGAGAGATAAGCATTATCACCAAGCCAGAATGTTAAAATCTAACCAAACTGCCCCAGGTAAAGATAATAAAAAAAGAAAACAGCCAATTTTTTTTTCTGCTTTATTATTATATTTTTCATTGACAGAAGAACAGAGAATAGCACAGCAGGCACTACAACAACTTTTAAATGCTTCTGAAAGAAACAGTTCTTAGGCTGAAAGAGCAAATGAGCTCCTCAAATCAAATGAGGTAAATGAGGTATTCAATCATTGTTCTTTCTGTCAAAACTGTAAAGACAACTGTCAAGTAACATGACTTTGGTGGCACTTTTAGAAAAGAATTGTTGCCCACCTGGAAACAAATTCAGACACTCATAGATGCCACAGAAATCAGTGAATGTGTATCTTTGTAAGCTACAAATCAAAAAAATAAGCCAGAACCTCCACAGCAGCCCTGCAAACCAAGCTTGCTTTATGCAGCTAGCCCTTACAGTCACAGCATCTGTACAGCATGGGAACCTGAGCCAGATAAAAATCTGAAGATCATTAATAAACTTGATTAATTTCTATAAGTAATACATAAAAAAATACCCCATAGTGAATTACAGCTATTATTTGAGTTTGAATCCTGTCCAGCAAAACAAAAAAACCAACTGAGGTAAAGCTGTTGGATTGCTAGAGTACAATGCATATTTGCCCTAAACTTGTGCAAAGCCAAGTAAGCAAAGCCACTGCTTTTGTGTTCTTTATTACACTCCCATTTCTATGTGCAACTGTTGCTGTCAGCAGAGTTCTTAAGGGATCTATGCAGAGCCAAGGTCTTCCTGGTCTTCTGTGAGTACCAAAACAGGCCACGAGAGCCTTCATCCCCATAGCTGACTGAAGGGACACAGATCACAGCAGCAATCAGCCATCAAACACACTTATCATCATAGGGACATAAGAAAGACTTTTAGAACAAATTAAAGCCAGCAACTGAACTTACACATGTGAGTAAATTAATGAGCCTATCTGATCTTCCCAGATAAGATGAATCCTCCCAAATAACTAAAAAACCAGTCCCCTAACAAAACGGCTCCTAAAACTTTTAGGAAAGGAGAAAAGAAGGAAAATCAAAACAAACAAAAAAGAGGAACCACAAACACCCAAGCATTTTGGGACCAGTTACCAGTTGATTGTGTATCAACAGAGGATCTGAGGTAAGCAAAGCAAGCAGGTTAATCTGATACACTAAGTACCCATTACTACTATGCCAGGATGCAGAATGGCAGAGCCATCACAATGTGGTTTTTTCCAGAAGCCTGAAAGCCCAGCTCCACAGTAAGGGAGGTGTTTTATCTCCCTTCTTAATTACAGCTAAATAAACTGGATTGCTGGTCTGGTGAGACTCCTTATTAATTCCTCAGCCTGTCCAGAGCCACTGGCATATAAAAAAGACTGAGTTGTACATTATTCTTCTTTATCTACTACTACTAAAAAAAGGCAAAAATGAGAACATCAGCACAAACCATGAGTGAAAGGAAACGTAAGAAGTGTATCTATTCCACACAATGCTAACTGCAAGTGTGCACTTTTAATTGTTTCTGATAGCTAATTCCCTTAAGAGATGTGTCCTGAGTGTCTTGGATACAAGCAAAGTACTCTCCCATCAACAGACCTGCACTGGTCACAAAGGAAACAAACTAGTTCTACATTCAGTGCTATTCAAAATCTCCACCCAAAATGCAGTGCATTTTCCACACTTGTCTTGTATGAAAGCACTGGCAAAGGAAAAAGCACCAAAAAACCCTCCAACTATACACTCAAGAGTTCAGAACCTATCCTGGTTCTGAACCAGGACAGTTTCCCGGTTTTCTTGACGAAAGCGAAACACAGTTCTGTTTCCAAAACAGAGTTTAGAAATTTTAGCTGCAGTCCAATGCTCAATTCATTGACATATTCATGGGCAAACATGGAGGAGTTTTATGTCCATTTCTAAAGCGGATTAAAGGACACATAAATATATTTTTGTCTGCAATCTATTTTCTGAAACTGCTCAAAATTCTAATCTATCAGCAATAAGGAACATGTGATCCCTATGATTAAGAGAGCAGGTAATTTGCAGTGCATATTTGGAATAAACTGTGGTATGTATACTTGAAAAAAAAGGGGAAATAAACCATTTAGAGTGACACATGTAAAAATCTTTATTTGTACTCTCTTTTGGGGGAGCAGGTAAGGTTGTGCACTTTTGTAAAGTTTTAGACAAGAACTACTTTTGTCAATTCAATGGTAGCAGAATCCCTTACAGCAACTCTTAGGAACTGAATATAATCTCTTTGGAATACCATCAATTCACATTCTTATAAAATTATCCTGAAATCAGCAGAAGAGTAAATTAAAGTGACACTTCTAGGAACGGTTGTATTATTTTTATAGGCCATTGGCACTCGTTTAGCATTTAGTATGTGCTTCAATTCATCCTTGATCAAGAATGTGATTAATTTAATATGCACTAATATTTTCTGCATCACAACACTAATTGCACAGTAAAATAAAATCAGAAAAAAAAATTATCACAAGCACCTGCTCCATTTGCAATAGCAAACTGAAATGAACTGCATGTAAATATAACTTCCTCTGTAAATAAAACCAAAGAACACAGTTTTGCCAAAAGAAATCTGCAAAATCTGGCAAACTAAATAGCTGTCAACCAGAGACGGCTGACATTATCATTCAGTGTTTAGTCTAACAATTCTCCTGGAGAAAGTAATTAACTCCTCTATTTTGCTCCTCTTTATTTATTTCCTGTATTTACACCTTAACAGTTGTCAGAGCTTTATTCTGAATTATGTTACCAGGTCTCGCTGGAAAAACAGCCCAATTTTCATCTTTAAGGGACTGTGGCAGGTTCCTAAAAGTGCCACTTTCGTGGGCAGTGTATGTATTAAACCTCTTGCATAGGTAACATTGCAAACAGCAAAATGATGCTTCCAGTTGCTTTCTGTTGCTCTGCAGACTAGAGAAGACTTGCTGCCCCGAGGAAGCCAGCTTTGCTGGGATTCATACCACATGTCCCTCTCTAGAACGCTCTGAAAACATTACACCTCCCTGTTCCTGCAAAAGGACTGTTCAATCATAATAAAGCCATCCCCTTCCACAGGGCAGTTGTTTCCTGGAACAGGTTCCCCAGGAAGTGGTCAGAGCACTAAGAATGACAGAGCTCAGGAAGTGTCTGGACAATGCTCTCAGGACTCTTGGGGATGGCCCTGTGCAGGCCCAGGAGATGGACTCAATGATCCTTGAGGGTCCCTTCCAACTGAGAATATTCTGTGATTCCTATTCATCAGGTTATAGGCTTCATGACCCCAAAAATATGATTTATTAGCCTCACTTGATAAAAAGTAACCACACAAAAATAATTCTAAAATTTTCTGGTTCTAATGGCAGGCTTATCTGGCAGCAGCAGATCTTCCTTCTGACTTACCCCATTTCAAGAGGCTGAGAATAAAACCTTCTCTAACGGGAAGAGCAGAAATAATAGCTCAGCACATCCATCTAGCTCCTATCTTTTGCCACAGGAAAAGCAAAAGCAGGAATGGTATCACTGAAGTTTACAGATGTTATTTGTTACCCTTCCATAATGAATCCTAACAGGACAACAAGGCAATCAACCATCATTTTCATATACAAAATATGCAAGTACCAGCCCACATAATGGATTTTTAGGCACAAATTGCATTACAAATCTCATTGCAAGCCACTGGAAGCCACTCTTGAAAGGAATACGCCAGAGAAGTTACTAAGACTGCAACACCACAAGTGGTTTTTTTAAGTTAAATTTAAGAGGAGAAAACAGACAAGGAGGTAAGGTACCTTCACATCTCTGTCAGGAGGTTCTACGTAATTCAGCAAAGTACCAAAACATAACATGTACTAATTAAGAAGAATTTCAATGTCGGCAGTAGCCAGAGCAAAACCCAGCAAGGCCCACATAAAGCTGTCCATACCAGTAGACAGGGAATCAGATGGATGTGCAAAATGGAAACTTTTTTCAATTCCAGATTTGCTCAGGGCACACCGATGTCAAGCAGATCAAAATGGCCTTCCAAAACAAAAGTCTGACTTGAAAGAAACAGGGGGCTGCTCACTCACCCTTTAACTCCTTGCTTGCTCCTCCATATCTGAATTGCTCACCTCTGAGCAGTGTACAGTGATCTACCACAGAAAGGTAACAACAATATATGACAAAATACAGCAGAAGCCAGAATTAACATCCTGGGCATGGTGAACCGCAGCACAAACAAACATCCATCTTCATAATCTCCTAGAAATGGAGCAGGGGAGGTGTGAAGTACATCTCCTTTCAACGTATTGCCTCAGTAAGGTTTACATATTTTGTTCTGCACAATCTGAATAGCAAACCTTACAAGATTATTTGGGTAACATTCAGGTCATTGTAAAGTGGCAATCTCTCCTTGTGCCTGAGGAATAGTTTTTTGGAAGATTGCTCTAGTGAAAATTAATGCTAAAATATCCTTGGATTTAGTTTGTCACTCAGCTCATTTTCAGCTGACTTCTGTGACAACAGCTGAAATAAAGATAACACAAGGGAAATTGCACCTAAAAAGAATGCAAACAAAAAATAAATGCAACTCTGGAAAGAGGCATTAGGTCTGATTCAACCTCCAAACTACAAGAGGCAGAACTGTTTCTGGTATCTGGCAACATAAAAATAAAAGTAAGATATTTTACATCACTTAGCAAAAAGTCCTATCATCACTAACACTAGTTTAGCTTCACTAACAGTTACAGTAACATCACACATCGATTGTCCATGAGTCTCTGAAATCAGTAGTCTAAACACTTCATAAATGAGATCTTCTTTTGCAGGTTACACGAAAAGGAATGAAATGCTGGTTCTGTTTACATCAGTGGAAAAATTTTTGCTAGTCTCACAGGAGCCCAAATTTCACATTAAACTTTCATGACACTGAGAAGCTCATCCCCACAGGAGCTTACCAAGTTAGATGTTTTAGCAATAATTGTAAAATTGATGTTAAAGTTTATTGTTTGTACCCATTTTCCTACACCAAATCTGCCAGTTAATGCATCACTTTGTACCTCATGGCTTACCTGACATAAACTGGTACTACACAGTTTTCATTACACAGTTCTGGAAATTATTATGCTCTCACACAGCTTCACGTAAGCCAAAGCAAAGCGAATGTAGTTACCTAGACAATGAGTAATTTTTGTACCAAACACAAATTCTGCTTTTTCAGTTAAACTTTTAAATGTGGTTACACCATCTCCTACAGCTTAAAACCACTATTTGAGATTTTTTTACTGCCACTTCACAAGTCTGAAATGCTTTCTTAAACTTCTTTTCAACAGAACACTTCAGAAGAAAACTGATCCGAGGGTGCTATATTTGTATATTGCTTGAGTGGAATACAGAGAAATTTCTTTCCTTAAAATTCAGTTTCTCTGAAGAAGAACACCTTAGCTAGACACTAATTCAAAGTTTCACCATGAAATAAACAGTATTTCTTTTGTGCCAGTTGCAATACTTTGAGCTATCATTGAGGGGGACGCCGCATACACACTAACCCTTGTCACCTTTTTTTTTTCCTTTTTAGAAATATAAGTTCTGCACTTAAAAATATACAGTAATTCCCTCGTTTCCAAATGTATGTGCAGAAGCACATACATTAAACTGTACACAGCAAGTTAGAACATTAATCCACTCTTCAAAGGAGTCATATATGACCTCTAATATAGAAGAAAAACATGTATTCCTTTGTATATCAAGGACCAGCAATCAATTCTACTTGTACAAACTAAAATTACAAGAAGGCAGGGAGAAAGCCAGAACATATTCCAACTAAGCTGCAGGGGTCAGGAGGACAAGTAGGAACAGGGACACAATCTATTTAGATCCAGAGAAGAATGATTAGCCTTTCTTTCTTCAATTAAATTATGAATGAACACTAAAGGTCTTCATATTTCCAACAATGCTTTTTTAATAGCCATGCAACTGCTAAATTCAAGCATTCTCCCAGCTTACACAAGTATAGGAAAAGAAGACACATTCCAAACTCTTGATCCCAAGTATTTGAAAGGTAAAGTACTGGTATTTATATCCAGAGATATTCACATAGTGTAGAGTTGTACTTCTTACACTAAGTAAATTATTTTTCCCCATTTTTTAAGAACTTCTAATATTTAGTTCAGTAATGAAGTACATACCTTTCACTGAAATACTTCAGTTTTGCAGAGTTAAAAGCATTTCTGCATAAGCATGAGGAAACAGAGACACAAACAGAAAATGATTTGTCCGAAGTCACTGAGGAAACAAATGACAGAAAGAGATAAAGCACACAGACATAATTTCCAGATTCTTACGATTCTCCTAGTGTTCAAAGGGTCATCACTAGATTGTTACATCACAGAAATTTTACCTAGAGGATTCTTCACAGATATAGAGCATTATCCCATTTTACTTATTTTAGTTATTCTTCCACATAAGAAATGGTGATTTGGAAAATTTTGGAGAGGAGTGTAAGTTTAATTACTCACATTTGTGAGCCAAAACTGAAACTGAAAACATCAAATTCTCCCAGCACTTACAGAGCACTTATCTTCCCTAGTTTTTAGTTTAAATAAAAGGTCAGCTACATTTTCAGACAGTATTCTTTAAAAGCATGCTGTAGTGAAGTTCCTCCACCACAACCTGTGTCAGACAGCACAATACAAAAGTTGTCAGGTCTGCTGAATCAGAAACAAAGCAGGAAACTTTTTACTGCCCCCATATTCATAAGCCATTGAGGAAAGTATCTATCTATTATGGTTGCAAAGATGTATCACAAAATGACGCATTATTGCTCTGTTTCCAAAGACCCAAGAAGGAAGGGGAATAGTGAGATGCAGACAGCACAGAGGTGGAAGTCTCTCTCTTTCTAGATGTCTTCAATACGAGATAGTACCTATGTGGGTGATACAAGAGGGCAGAAGCAGACTTTTCACAGGGGTGTGTGGTGACAAAGGGCAACGACTTAGAACGACTGGGTTTAGGTTAGACGTTAGGAAGGAACTTTGTAGTGAGGGTGGCGAGGCCGCGGCACAGGCTGCCCAGAGAAGCGGTGGATGCCCCATGCCCGGAGGAGCTGGCGCCAGGCCGGACGGGCCCAGCGCAGCGGGCGTGGGCACGGAGCGCCCCGGGCAGGGGTGCAGGGCCCGGGGGCCCGCGGCCGGAGCGCAGCTCTCGGGGGGCAGCGCGGCCCGGCCCCGCCGCCTCCCCTGCCAACCCCACAGAGCCAGGGAGGACAGCGAGGGCGGGGCCGCCCCTCGGGCCAAGGTTCCCCCTCGGCCGGCCGCTCGCCGTCGGCCCCGCGGGGCGGATGAGCCGCCCCAGGGCACGGCCCCGTCCCGACACCACAGCCCCGCCCTCCAGGGAGCGACGAGGCAAGGAGCTGCCGCTGCCCCCCAGTCCCCGGGCAGGAAGCCGTCGAGGCCCCCTGCCCTCCTCCCTGTCTCCCTTCCTGGCCCTTCCCATCCCTTACCCGCCCTCCGGCTCGCGCCGCCACACCGAACTTTCGCGCGCGCCGCCGCCGCTGCCAGGGCTGCGCATGCGCAGGAGCGGGGTGGGCGGGGCGGGCGCTGTGTGAGGGTCGGCGCTGCCTGCGTCCGCTCGGCTGTGCCGGGGCAGGTGTAATATTCCAAATATTATACCAATTCGTCCTTATTTCCTGATTGAAGAAACTGTTTGTAGAGTGAGGCACTCATTGCAATCCTACCTATAGAAAAACAAAGTAGATTATCTGAAAGAACGAAGTCACCAAGGGAAAACACTCTCTATCTTGAACCTAGGTCGGCATGTTGCTTTTCAGATGGATTTTAGATTAAATTGCAGTGGCATCATTAATCTGAATTAACAGGCTAGTTTGTTTTAGGTTTATATTTAAGATTTATATTCTGCTTGAGCATATGACTATCACTGCTTCTAAAGCTGAGGTTGCTGTTTCTCTCTTTACAATATAACCAGATAAGCTGATGTCCAACTCCTTACTCTCATTAAACTTTCATATTCTTCCATTCAGTTTTTTTTTGCAGTGTGCCATCTTTCTCAATCACTACTTCTTTCAACTTTCTATAAAATGAGACATCCCCTTCAGTACAAAGGCATATTCAAACTACCCGTATGGTAAAATCCTCATGCATGAATATTAACTTACTTTTTTACGTTTCATCCTATAAAATCAGCAACACTTGATGAATCAAAGTCTTGTTGCTGAAAGTTTCAAAGTTCTTTCTTGGGAGACAGCAACTGCTCATCAGTTAACCCGTCAAGACGAACTATCAGGGATGTTTCCCACACATCCAACACATCTGCAGTATGGGTTGTAATGCCCATATTCTCACCGTGTGTCCAGGTCATAACTCATGCAAGTCTTTAATCATTCTGCTCCTTCTATTTCTTATCAAGTGAAAGCATGGGAGAATTTGTATTTGTTTTCTACCATCAACTGTGTTAAGGCTTCCTTAAATGTCAGCATTATTAATTATTTTATTCCTGAAACTTTTTACTGTTGTGGTATAGTGGGAGAACCCTGGCCGGAAAAAAATTGATAACATCATTTTTCATGTTTCTGATTGAATATATTCCGTTGTTGTGTAATGTGTATTTCTACCCCATAGTCAGTGTAGCAAAAAGCTGCTTTTGTTAGTTAGCTTGATGCTTATACCATCAATTTAGCCAATTTTCTTCTTGCTGCACAGTAAGCTAACAAGGCAACTGCAGACAAGTTTTCATGCACACCTGAACATGTGGCCAAAGATCAGTGTAATATACCAGAAGCTGTGAAAAATAAACCTGGTAATTAAAAGGAAACAAACCAAGGCACTTAACAAAGTCATGGGAAATGGTGTAATAGACAGATATATAAAAAAACAGGAACAAATAAAAAAAAAAAAGATGAACATAAATTACTTAATATGCATAAATTCCAGTGGGTGGAAGGAACACTTGGTAATATTATCTTCAAATGACCCTCCTTGTCACAAAATAAGTGGCAATGATATGAGCAGTGAATTAGGCAGCACAACTCAAGTGAATGCCAATACAAATGTTATGTTACTTCAGACATTCTATATGGAGTTTGCCACTCCTACATTTAAAAAATGCAAAACATTTGAGTGTTAAAAGAATGTTATAGGGACTGTTTTTTTTAGCCTTGATCTTTAATAACAGATGCTACTGCATACAGAGCTAATCCAGCTGCCTAGTCCTAGAGAATTACTAATAGTAAGTCTTCGACACTTCCAAACAATGTTTCAAACTGTTAGAATTCACCAGAAATAGTACTGATGTAGATAAGAATGCCATGGCTTCAAACTGTGAGTGTTTAGGAAAGGACGTTCCAAACACCAGAGAATTGGTGGCTGCTCCCTGAGAACCCTGGCAATCTCCTCTGCCTCAAGGGATGTTGCAAAAGGCCCCTGCTTTGCACTTTGATGAGATACAGCAGAGACCACCGTTGAATTCAGGGCAAAATACCACCATTTTGTCTTTTGGCCAGTATTAATTCGGTAGGAAAAATCTTCTGATGGAGGAAAAGAAGGAAATATATCTTTGACAGGTTTGGGGGGAAAAAGGAAAAATAAAAAAAAAATTAAAATTAAGAAAAAGTCCCAGTTACTTGAAGCTGCTCAGAGGTTTAGAATGTTAGAACAGTACTGGGGTGGATAGATTAATAGGATGAACTGCAGGTAATGGACATGAAGGTTCATGGTAAGTATAATTATCAATGCCCACAACCACCACATTTGTAATATATTCCATGCACATTATAGTGATCAGCTAAAGAGAACAAACTGCTTTAAGCAACATGAGAGTACCAAGCAAAATGACTTCAGACACCTTAGCTGAAGTGAACATGGTATATACCTTCCTATAGATCTGTGGCTGATTCAGAATGGTGGGTACAAGATAACAGAGCTAACATAGCTGCTGCATACATATTGTTGTCCTTTACAGATGGAATTGGGGCTGCCTGACTATTGGAGTGGCAAGCAAAGCATCAGCCATACTTGAGAGATTCCCAGAGAAGACCACAGTGTGTAACAAGTCACCAACAGATATCAGTGTAGTGCTCTTTGCTAGGAGGTTTCTGAATAGGCAAATGTGTCATTTCTGGATGGTGAGTATATATTTGAAAATTTACCCACTAAAATACTGTATTTTGGGCAACTGTTAGCATAGGAGTTAGGCATGCCAGCATCCTCAAGTTCGAGCTGTTAATTTTCTCCCACAGTTCCCAGTTGCTTTGCAGTATAATTTCATAATTCATCACTTCTTATGCTTTCAGTGCTGTTCTATGAAAGAAACAAAGAACTTCAGTAACAAGGAGAAGTGGAGTTGCTTCCAGGAGGCACCAGACTCTGAAAATCTGGCTCATCAACTTTGTGAGCTGTGCATGTTGACACTGGAATAATTTTTCCTCTGCTTTTGTGATGTTGTTGATTTGCAAGTTGTTCCTTTACATTTGACATCCTAGGGATGTTTACTTGCTCCTAAGCAGGGCAGGACATTTGCTATGTTCTGTGTCCCAAGTGATAGATGAATACATTTGGTTTCTTCCTAATGCAAATACCATTGAGTCTTTAGCTGAGGAACTTCTGCAGGGTTCAAAAAATTGTCCCTGAGTAGAGCAATGGTGTTTAATGTTCCTTAAGCCCAACCTTAGGAGTGCTCATAGTATCTACTAAAGCCGATCCCTTGGTATTTCTCAGACTTGTACAAAACGTGCTCACAAGGATAAAATTTGGAAATTGTACCATATGTCAGTCAATTAGCTAACCTTAACACAGTCAAGGTTTTCATGATTTTCCCTATTGTGTATCTTTCAAAAATGTTATTATAGAAGCTGAAGTATTTAGCTTGGTGATTATGTTTCTATCTATACTTTATACACTTCCTCATGGAAAATAATCCTGAAAATAAATTCTTTCCCTGTACCTGTCTGCACTCACAGCAGGTGCTATAGGATATAAGCATGAGTTACATCAATCATCCCCAAGACACTGAGACAAGAAAATACAAAAATTTTCCATGATGTCCTGTGCTGTTGTGTGATTGCTGAACACTTGATGAATACTGGAGAGCATTTCCAAAATTTGGTCCACAAGAAATTAGCACAGTGCAGAGAAGCAGAGAGCTTACTTGTTTCTGTGGCATTCCCTATTGATACTCTGAAAAGTTGCTGTGGCATATACTTGCTGCAGAATGGAAAGTTAATGACCTGTTCTCTTACTGACAACTGCTAACTATGAAATACTCTGGTGAGCATTTCAATTCCATGTGTGTGACTATATTTCTTCTTGCTTTATAGAAAATACTCTCCTTAACTAGAATGGGCATTTACACATTCGAGAACCTGAGAAGTTTTATCAAAATTTCAGATGTTAAAAAGAAAAATACTGTTTTTACTGGCAGCAAGCGGGAGCCAAAATAAAAAATCAGCAAAATGTGATAAAGAGCATGCTTGCAACAGGGTTGGAGATGTGGGAAACTGCTTGTTGACAATCAGTATGCAGCTACAAAACATTATATTATTTCATGACTTACATAATTATTTAAACTAATGATGTTACGAAGCATTAAATCTTACAAAATGAAGTTACCATCATAAAGTTTATCTGTGAACACAAAGGTATCACACACA